AATTAACTAATAAGTAAAGATATTCATTCGAACGTGATCATTCAACGAATCATTAATACGACGAAACGTGCTCAGTCAGCGGATTTAATTGTTAACACTAGCTTTTACCGGTGACTTCGTCCGCATAGCCGGCATAAAATTAATAATGTTCTTTAACGTCCCACATCGTATTTGATTGGTTACGCAGTTCAGGTAGTTAACAAACTCACGTTCATAATTATATATTTTTTTATACCACTGAGGTGGCAAACAAGCATACGGCCCACCTGATGTTAAGTGGTTACCGTAGCCTATGAGCACCTGCAATAGCAGAGGTATTACGCGTGCGTTGCCAAACCTGAAGAAACCTCTTTACCCCCCTTTTGAAGAATATGTATGTATTTATTAAGTAAGGATAAGATATCAAAGTATGATATATATTATACAGAGTGGTATCGAATGCTCTACCAGAGAGAGATGAAGATTTTCTCACAGACAGAAGGATCAAAAAATGCCAAAATTTCAGCCTCCCGTACTGAGACGAACAACGTGGTCGTCGTAATAGGCGATTAAGGGAACTAAAAAGTCGAGGAATGGGCAGCAGCGTCCCTTTTAAAACATCACCAAAGCCTGTGTTTGTCAACCCACCAAAGTGGGCAACTACTGGTAAACCCCTCCTTTATGGAGGAGGCCTATTTTCGGTAGTTTATATTTTATAGCTGACATGATGGTAATATAAGACGGCTGACGATGATTTACTGAGACGTTATGTCTAGTTGTCAAAATGGTTTGAGGATTTTTTTGTCATGTTTCGACCCATAGGATGTTTCTCAAGAAATATGTAACTTGTTCTAGAGCAGCCTTTCCTAAACTGGGCGATAACGCCCCCTTGTGGGCGCCGCAGGCCTAAACGGGGGCGGTAAGAGACCCAGAAAAAATGGGGGCGTTGTGTAGAGGCTGGGGGGTTGATTTGTTGATCTTGATGTAATAGTGATTTTTAAGTAGGTGAAAAAACGGGGGCGCTAAAAAATTCTTTACTCTCAAAGTGGGCAGTAGATAAAATAAGTTTGGGAATCCCTGTTCTACAGTTACCGTTAAATTACAGTTATCATTTTAGTTCACTATTAGTTTCAAACCACTATTTACATAAATAGATTAGAAATATTAAAAACTGTTATTGGAAATTGACTTATAAGTATAACGTCGGGATGCACTCTTTTCTTCCTCCATCGGATAAAGGCACCTTTATTTCAGTGCGGTACCCTTAAATTGGTTTTAATTAGGGCAGGTACATGTTAATTCATATTCAGCCAGCAAACCGTGTGCACGACCGGCTCACGGGTATCAACGCATTTAAATTGCGTCTGTAATTACAAATGGCTGACGGAACAGCTTACAGCTGTCAGATGTCGGCTCAACGATTAAATTTACTGTCACTTTATTGGTTACTACAAGGAAACACCGCGGTTTTGTCTGTACACAGGCTGATATCGCTCAATTTGTTGTGGTTTAAATATACAGTTATAAATATCGGCGTTGCAAGCGTGAATCGTGGTGAAAATCATATGTGCAAGTCTAAAATATTATCTATTCATGTACTAATTTAACTCAAATCTGATCAACTGTTTAGGGGTCATTGAGTAGTAAAGTACCCAAATTTCATTAGGAATTTTGACATTTATGATGATTAGCATAGTCTAAAGAATTCTTTATTGCTACTTACAATTGCAAAGTCTAGAATTTTATTAGTTCTTGTCAAACACTTGCTATAAAGGAACGTACTCTCTGCGCAATATCCCTTATCTATCTTCACAATATTTTGGCTAATTGTAAATCAATGATATTTTATTGCAATCAAAAAGGTTTACTTTCATGTTGTTTCTATAATAATTTTTTTTTGAGTAAAATCTTGTTGCAAACCAAAATCTACTCGTGAACACATGACATTTTAAATTTAAATAATATTTCTAATTTAATGTACATATCTATGGCACTGCATCAAGAGAAGGAGTAAACATCCAACAATAATAACCTCTGTTGAGGTTTTATTTATGTTACTTTTAAAAATAGAACCTATTTATTTTCTTTTTCTGTCAATTAATATTTTGTTATTAGGGCACGTCATTTTTAAATATCACTATTATTGTACTAGGGAAAAAATATAATATATCTTCATACAGTATTTTCTATTCTATTGTTCTATCCAACGAACCCTTCATAACCTCAAAAACTTCTGCGTTGACCATATTAGCAGAATATTAATAAGAATAACAACATAATGTACTTATATTTATTATTTGAAGCCTAATGACACGTATAACGTAATATAAAGATTAAACATAAGCTTACGGATTAAAATAACACTGTTATTAACGATACGGCGGTCACAATAAATGAAAGATATTGCTCGCGAGCACTGCCAGAGATAATGTAATACTGTACTAGTCACTATTAAAGCTAAAAAATCGATATTATTGTATAAATTGCATTACAATTACAGAGAATCTATAGAATTGAAGGAGATACTGATGTAATATAAATATTGGAAGGGATCATAAATATTTATTGTCGTATAATTTTTTTTTTTAAAAGAGTTTATTTGGAATTAAAGATTATATTTTTCAAGAATATTTAATAGACTACCTTCATTTATATTTTTTTTTATAAAATTCTTTCCTGTGGGTGTAGTAAGAGGCGACTAAGGGAATAAAATTTTTGAAAGATGGACATCAGTCTCTCTCTTAAAACATCAACACTAACAGCGGCTGTCAACCCACTTGTCAAGCGTGACAACTACTGGCAAAACCTCCTTCTTGTTGGGGAAGCCTATGTTCAGAAGTGGACAGTTTAACAGCTGATATAATGAACAAAAATATTTTACTACAAATTTGTACTATTAAAAAAACTAGACCAAACAAGCCTGAGAGCTACCGTGGGTAATGGAAACGCATTAAGTAGCTGGGCTAGTATAGTTTATTTTTTTTTTTATATTTACAAAAAAAAAGTTATAATATTATTACCATTCAGTAGTTTTAAATGATTAATTGAATATTTTTAACTTCCTAATAGTAACTCGTATTCGTGAGCAAGCCGGGCTACTTAATGCGTTTCCATTACCCACGGTAGCTCTCAGGCTTGTTTGGTCTAGTGGATAGAGATTTGAATCAGTTCTTACAAGTGAACTAAATTTAAATAGTTTTTGCTATTCGAAAGTAGGTAGTTCTCTCAAATATAATTTATTTTAATAGAAATTAATGAAAATGTAAACAGACGATTAATCGATCCGACCATTAGACAGTGTGTTGAAGATCAATAGTAATGTAAACAAATAATAAATCGATTAGTGAATTTTTTTTATTGCACAATAAAACTTTGTTCAAGTGGCGAGCTTAATGCCATATGGCATTCTCTATCAGCTAACCATTAGGTTAAAACAGAAAGCGTATGAAGGGCAGATGTGGTGAAAAATATATGACATAATTATTGTAACTTAATGAAATAATTATATATAATTCATAAAAAATACACATATAGTATATAAATATTACTTTTAATATCTTATATATAAAATTCTCGTGTCGCGGTGTTTGTTACCAAACTCCTCCGAAACGGCTTTACCGATTTTTATGAAATTTTGTGTGCATATTGGGTAGGTCTGAGAATCGGCCAACATCTATTTTTCATACCCCTCAATGATAAGGGTGACCCTCCCCAAAATTTTTTTTTATTTTTTTAACAAATTTTTCCATTTTTATTTTATTATGATTTAGCATCGAAAACTACATACAACTTCAAATTTTCACGCTTTTACGATCAACCCCTGTTTTTGAATCGCGATTTTTATATTTCGCAATAACTTAACGGTTAATAGTTACAACGTTTACGGGGTCAGCTAGTTTTAATATATATTAAACATATATTAAAACAGCGATAAGTATAGTAACTATTGAGTAATTTATAGCTAGAGCTGGCTTTTGTTGACTCAACAAATAAATGGAAATGGATTGAATGTGTCAATTTCTTACTAATTCCATTAGGAGAGTGTTTCTTTAATAATTTAAACGGAACTATATAGATGTAAATGTTACATAGTATAAGTAAGTAGTAAGTAAAGTAGTAAAAAATACTTAAGTGAATTTAATAATTCTTTTATCTATAGAAAGCTACATTCGTAGATAGTAATATGGGCTGTATTTCATTAAAAAGAGAACGAATTTTTCTTTTTATCTAAATAGGTCGTCGTTATCATCATTGTTTTTGTACAAAATCATCATCGACTTTATACAAAAGTCGTTTGCTTGGGCATCTCTGTCCCATTCGTGTTTCTATCGTGAAGCAGTTATGTTTGCATGGCTGTGTTTCGGTTTGAAGGGTAGGATATGGCAGTGAATTTACAGGGTACAAAAGAATAACGCCTGAGTTTTTTTTTATACAACTTAGAATGGCAAACAAGCTGATGGCCCACCTGATGGAAAGTGGTAACCGTCGTCTATAGACATGAGCAATACCATGGACATAACAGAGTATACTGTTCTTTTCAGTTCTTAGGAATGGTAACGCATGGGGAGTATCATGGGCGAAACAGTTTATGTTCATGGTACTGGCTCATGTCTATAGGCGACGGTTACTATTTTCCAACAAGTGGGCCGTCAGCTTTTTTACCATTGTAAGTTACATAAAAAAAATCTATGCATAGTTGCTGTAGAAACACGAGTGAGACAAATCTATCCATATATGAGTAAAATATTTTTCTACAGTCTCCCATGGATTTTAAGAAATTCATTCTTTAAAATTATAGTTTTAAAGTGTGTATTGTGATTTAGACTTTGCGGTTAATATCTCCGTGAGTCAGTAACAAGCTGCTTTTTGTGTAATATATTTATTTATATTACAGTCTCAGCATGAGGTGTGTATTAAACTCGACGGGTTATACGAAATATATCCTATTATGATATGTGTAAAGCAGGCTTTTAAACTCCCAAACAAGTCTATTCAAACTAAATGTGTATAAATGTACTCACCTCCCCAACACGAGTGTCCGTAGCTTAGACACGAGCCTGCAAAGTAAACAAGAGTAATTAAAATTCAAATAGTTATAATTATGCTTAATAGTTTCACATGATTTTATTAATATAATTTTAATGATATGATATTAAATGTAGTTTTTGTTATTTTTGAATCGAATCATGAGTTCGAACGTATTATTTTTAGTCAAACTATTAAAATGTTTTGTTATCCATCAATACTAAATGGATAAAAGTTTTACTCAAAATAATAATAATAATATAATTCTTACAAAATAGAAATTAAATTAATTATTAGATAATAAAAATTTAAAATTTTAATTAAAGATAAAATAAATTCTCTGAGGTCACCGTCAACTGGTAGGGAATCTAGGAGACTTGCTGTATTTCCACGCTGAATGGCTAAGGAGATCCGCTGACCGATGTATTGGCCAGCCTTTTAGTCGCCAAAAGTTGCTACAAGCTGGCGTGATATCTCTTTAAAAAGACTCATTGTCAGGGGTCCAACGGATCCAGAATCTCAACTTCAAACGCCGCAAAGGTAAAGGTAAAGGTTTTTACGGCGCTTGATAGTCTTTTTTAACTTTGCCGCAACATGCCAGTTGCGTCATAATTAAAAATTAAAAAAAGAACTTCAATTGTTATATATCTTTATAATACATACTTACGGCTTGAAATGTCAATCTACTTTGTCATAGTGACAAATTCTTTATGGCATAGGATTTATATAAGATTCAATGTAATTAAAATAGTATATACAGTGTGACAAATAGTTTACATGTGAAATTATTACCTATCTTTATATTGTATTTACATATATATACAGGGGTAGTCATAAATAATATACCAAGCTAAATATCTCATGTGAAATTACGAATTTGCTTATTTTTAAAGATTTTATTATTCTTATTATTTCTTTTTTTATGTTTGTTAATCTTTTACTCAAAAACTACTGAACGAATTAAAATGAAATTTAGTACAAGGTTTACTATATCCTAACTTAGCACTTCGGATATTTTATACACTGAAGTATCCTAAGCGCGCAGTACACGCGGGTAAAGTCGCAAAATAGAGCTAGTTATTTATTTATTCATTAGTACAAATATGTGTACATGGCGGACTTAATGCTAAAAGCATTCTCTCCCAGTCAACCATAGGGAAGTGTCAGAATACTCGAATGCGGAACTAGTAATTATTGATATACATACATACGAAAATTACATATATAAACGAATAAATATATATGAATAACAAATATACTTACACATATATGACATATACTATATTATACACGAATTTGGGAATAATATAAAGCACTTATTGCTCGGATAAAAATAAAAAGTGAGCGTGAACGCTTTTTTTGAAAGACGGTTTAGTCGGTAGTCTCTTAATGGCATCAGGAAGCGCGTTCCAGAGTCGTGAAGAATGTAGGAGAAAAGAGTTTGAAGCGTAACCAGTACGGTGAGAGGGGAAAGATAATTGAAGAGTATTATTGGAACGAAGGTTACGTTCGTGAGTTTAAAAAAGATAATAGAATTTACTCCTTAAGTAGTTAGTTCAATAATAACACTAAGTATTGAGTGTAACTGTAGTCACACTACAAAATTAACGATGTGCAAACTCACTAAAGTTGTCACAATCCATTTCAATGAATTATCTCTGCTTCATAGCACTCTAGTGTTTATACATACACCTTTACTGAGCGGACGTATATAGGATGCGCCATAAACCTAACACGGAATATTAGCCGTGAGTAGCCTTTAATGGGATCAGGGCATCATAACTTATATGCATTAAACTGATAGTGAATCTGTTTATTAATAGAGCTAAGATGTATCAGGTAAGTGCCATGCGATTTTTATGTCCAGATAATTATAATTTTCCTTCTAATAAATGTGAAAGTTTATATTTATGTTTGGATGTGTATTAAGGTGGTTAGTTAGAGTCAGTCAGTCCAAGTCTTTTTAACCCTTTTTAATGGTTTTTTTTTTTTGATGAGTGATAATGGTATGGTAACCCCGCCTGCGCTAACGAGATATGCTGGCGGAGCACCAGTGAAGTGTGACAGATGAGAATGGAAACAGGTCAGTTAGCTCATCATGATGAATTCATCAGGAATTAACCATGATAGTTTCCAGGGAGATCCGCAAGGAGGTCGACCTGGTTGGGTATATTGATAGCAATGGGATTCTCAGTCTCCATTACTAACAATCTCTTTCCCCCATTTTAATGGATGTTAATGAAATGGTAAACATGCCTGCGCTATTGCTATACGCTGGTGGGGCACTAGTGAGGGATGATAGGTGATATTGAACTCAAGCCAGTTGGCCCATCACGATTAATTTGACAATAATTATAATTAATCACGTTATTTTAATTAATTTACATTTATTATTAATCATGATGGTTTCCAGGAAGAATCGTGTTAACATCGACCTGACAGTGTGACGGCTAGCAATGAGGATTAACGTCCGCTTTACTAACAATCCTTTCCCCCCCTCTTATAATATTGCATTTTACATTCAATTATAATGTAGGTACATAACAGATGGCCGCGTGGTCCCGGCATAGAATAAGCCACCCCTTCCTTTCCCGTGGGTGTCGTAAGAACCGATGAAGGAAGGAGGAGGTATGGACAGCAGAATCTCTCTTAAAATATCATTAAAGCCTGACTGCAGTTGTCAATCCGCCTGCCAAGCGTGGCAACTACTGGCAAAACCACCCAAGGGGGAGGCTTATGTTTGACAGTTAAAGGATGGTATGATGATGATGACATGACAGATGTCCCCGAAATTTAATTTTGTTATTTATGCATTAACTTAAAGAATTAAATTAGTTATATTCATAAAGATTTATATATGTAAAAAAGGAATAAGGGTTCTGTAATTGAATATACTTGTACACTAATCTGCCCATATTATGAACAGTAATGGCGTCGAATGGCGCTTCATACGTTAAATATAACAATTTATATATTTTAAATATATTAATTCAAGTCTTGTGTTTTTGTTATGTTTTAAAAGACATTCTTAAATTGAAAATGTAAATAAATAAGATGATTTATTACATTTAAATTAGACGTAATAATTATTGTGATAAAGTACTTATAATTATGGCAACATTTGTTGAGGAGTATGATGGATTTCCCAGTTTTATAGTGAATAATAAATAAATAATTGTTTTTTTTAGTAATAAATTATTTCCGGATATTTGATAAGGAGGCTTTTAAATAAGGAATAAATAGTATTTATATTTGCTATCATCAGATAATTAGTTGAAAATTAAAATCAATATACAAATAAATGTTTTAAATTAAGCGGAGTTTATACATGCTCTTGCATTGTTTGTATGAGACAAAGAAAAATGCGGTTTTTACGTTTTTTAAGAATGTTTTGAATTTTTTTCTGTTTCCTTTTTCGAATTTTAAGGAATATTAAAAAAAAAGCTGCCTTATAGGCACAGCTGTACAGACATTTTGGTTTTTACTATATACTATAATTGTCGAAAGATGAGGAAGTAAATTAAATTGTTACACTACTGCATGTTATACACTGTACTCGTAAATAAGAGGCGTAAATCACTTTCCAGCAGATGGCTCTTTACTTTGTTTTTCATTTTCAATAACATACAAAAATATTACTTTACAAGTGTTCCAGTGAAATATCGTACTCGCATTTTATTTTAAAATCTCTGTGTGGTAAATAAAATTCGCGTTTGTTATGATAAATGCATTGTAGCTGAATGCAAATCGAAGTGATTTTGTTCATTTATCGGTCCAATGGGAAATCTCTATACGTTCATTGGAAAATAATAATTCTTCTATTGCAAATGAACCTTTACAGACTCTGCTCTCAGTTCTCGGAACTAATCAAACATAAATATTCTTGGGATATCGAAAGAAAATACTCCATTTAAATTTCGTATTTATTAAAAAAGTATTACATGTTTTATAATTTTGTCGGACTAGTGCAAAAGAAAATTAAAAAAATGTTTTTTTTTTTAACTCAGAAGGCAAACGTGAATGCGGCTCACCTGATAATAAATTACTACTGTCGCCCATGATCACCCACTACACTAGAGGTATTACAGGTGTGTCGACCTTTTAAAAAGGAATATTTATTTATTTATTTCTTATTGCATTCCGTAATATAATTAGTAGATAACATTTCAACTTCAATTATGGACCCTGTTGGGCACAGCAAGTACGTGAGAGGAGGACAACACTTTTTTTCACTTTAGAAATAGTCTAAGGATCTGTTACAATATTATCCAGCTCTTTTCTTGATGGTATGATGTTTCATTTTGGATCCAATCATTGTACAGTATCATTGTAAAGAGCATATTCCTTTTTAAAAAGCCGGCAGCACATCTGCAATGCCTTTGTTGTTGTGGGTGATTATGTGCGGCGGCAGTCACTTACCATCAGGTAAATTGTAGCTCGTTTGCTCCCTGTGTTGTAAAAAAAATAAAATAAAAAAAAGTATTTTAAAAAATTTAATAAAATGAGGGGATTACCGGAAAAGTAGGAAAAAAATAATACAGGCGGTCCTCGACTTACGTCGTTTCGATTTACGTCGTTTCAAGTTACGTCAAACAATGTTTTGACACTATTCCTCAAGCATACGTCATTTGTTTCGATTTCCGGCATATCGGAGAATTCACTTGTCGCAAGGTCAATGTCCGTGAGGGGCGCGGGCGGGGCGCAGTGTCGTCTCGTGCGGGGAATACCCCGCAAATGTCGCTGATTTTGTTTAGTACATTCAGGGACAACGGACAATCAAGACGTAATAAATTAGTTTTTTTGCATCTTTGACAGTTTTTGTGTTTACATACATATTTAAGTGAATTTTAAACAATGCCACCTAAACAAGACAGTAATAATAAAGTGAAGAAGAGAGTAAGAAAGTCAATTACAATGGAGGTTAAATCTAAGATTTTAAAACTCAAAGATCGCGGTTATTCGACTTCATCTATTGGACGAGAACTTAATTTATCACGCACGACGGTACAAACAATATTGAAAGATAAAGAAAAACTCTTAACAGCTCTTCCTTCCGTCTCTTCAAACAGCACTATTATACGCAAAAGGAATGCTTTAATTTATGAAATGGAAAAACTGTTGTACAATTGGATTCAAGATCAAACTCAGCGACGGGTTCCTCTAAGTTTGGCTATTATACAAAATAAGGCGCTGAGTATCATCAACACACTGCAAAATAAACGTGGCGAGAATAATAGTGACGAAACAAAATGTTTTTCTGCCAGTCGCGGATGGTTCATGCGCTTTAAAACGAGATATTCGTTACATAACATTCGAGTGCAAGGAGAAGCTGCTAGTGCCGATCATGTGGCTGCTCAGAGTTTTCCTGGAATATTAAAGGAAATTATCGAAAGTGGAGACTATTCGCCTAAACAAATTTTTAACGTGGACGAAACTGGTTTGTTTTGGAAAAAAATGCCCTCTCGTACTTTTATATCACAGGAAGAAAAGTCTATGCCTGGATTTAAAGCGGCTAAAGATCGTTTGACGTTGTTATTGGGTTCGAATGTTGAAGGTGATCTTAAATTGAAACCCCTTTTAGTTTATAGGTCTGAAAATCCTCGAGCTCTCAAAAATTACGTCAAGAGTACTCTTCCAGTTATATGGAAGGCTAATCCAAAGGCATGGGTTACATCAATACTTTTTGAAGAATGGTTTACTAAGCATTTTATACCTGAAGTGAAACAGTACTGTTCAAACAATAATTTGGCTTATAAAGCTTTACTTATTTTGGACAATGCTCCCGGCCATCCTGTGCGTATTGCCGATATTGATCCTCAAATCAAAGTCGTGTTCCTGCCTCCCAACACCACTTCGTTGTTACAGCCGATGGATCAAGGAGTTATCGCATCTTTTAAGGCCTATTATCTCAGGAGAACTTTTTCACAGGCTGTAAAGGCTAATGAAAATGATGGCATGGAGCTGAGAGATTTTTGGAAAAGTTATAATATCCTGCAATGCGTAAAAAATATTGCTACTTCATGGGATGAGGTGACACCCAACAATTTAAAAGGAGTGTGGAAAAAGTTATGCCCATTTTTTTTTGAGCCATCTGAAAGTTCTACATCTACAGATCAACCAAATGTCGATGAGATCACAACTGACATTGTTCATTTGGCTAACCGTTTGCCTGACATTGCAGTTACTACTGATGATATTGATGATCTGTTAAGCTCACATTCGCAAGAACTGACTGATGAAGATCTTATTGAATTGGAGGCACAAGTACAAAAGGAAGCACTCGAGTCACAAGAAATAGCTTCTTCTATTAGTGACTCTGAAAAAGAACTTACACTAAAAAAACTTTCCGTAGCCTTTGCAAATTTGAAGAATGCCATGAAAATTTTTGAAGAAAATGATCCTAATTTTGAGAGAAGTTTTAACGTTAATAACAAAATTTGTGCAGCCTATCACTGTTACCAAGATCTGTATGATAGCAAGAAGAAAGAAGCCAAGCAATCTAGAATTGATAGTTTCTTTAAGCCAAAAGTTTAATTTATTATTTATCATTACATATGTATAAGTTTTATAATTATTATTAAAATTAATAACACACAAATACCAAAAATAACTAGCAATTTCATAAGTGCATAATATATAATTATTTTAAGAACTTACTTTTAATAATAAAGTACGTCCTTTGTTATAAATGCAGTTTTTTTTATTATTTCGAGTCCGTGTGGAACCTAACCCTTGAGTTTTACATGTAAACATATGAAAAAATATGTCTCGACTTACGTCGTTTCGATTTACGTCGCGTATTTCGAGAACCTAACATGCCGTAAGTACGAGGACTGCCTGTATACTAATTAGTTTATTGGCACAAAAATGTTTTCAATTGTTTTTTTTTATAATTGTTGCATCATACTACATGTCAATCATTGTCGTTTCCGAATGAAACTTTGTATTGCAAATTTTGAAATTGATTTTATTCTAAACAAATAAACTAAAACTATATAAATAGATGCTTTAAATTTAAATATATATGGGATTAGCTATTTTTGTACAGTGTACATTTATTAGGCCCACGTTAAGTCTGAAATACATCCTTTGTTCATTATCAAATTGACGTTAATATTCCTACAGACATGTACCAACATTGCACGTGAATAGACCTAATGAAGGCTATTGAGAACTTGATTCACACAACAAAATTCTGGGAAGAAAAAACCTGATTCGATATACATTAACAAAATGGCAGCGAATAAACGAGTTGCACGTAGGCGTGAACGATTAAACAAAGAAGTTATAATCATTGTATGTAACGCAAAACTTGTACGTATATATATATATATATATATATATATATATATATATATATATATATTATATAACACAAATTATTTAATTATCAATCATGTCATATCTTTATTGTTTCCTCCAAAAGATTACAAAAGTAAACTTATTATAAATTATTATGAATTTACTAGGTGCAGAGGAATAACACCTGAGTCCTCAGGAATGGCAACGCATGGGGGGTATCATGGGCGAAACAGTATACTCTGTTATGTCCATGATACTGCTCATGTCTATAGGCGACGGTTACCACTTTCCATCAGGTGAGCCGTCAGCTTGTTTGCCATTCTAAGTGTATAAAAAAAAATATAAATAATTACAAGAAATGATCACAATGAGAAAACAATTGGCGACGTTATCGCTAAAAGTGATCTCTTTCAGGCAACCTTTGGATGGAGAAGAGTAATTATAAACAGTTTGATCGGAGGCACGATGAAAATTCTATTATTTCTAAATATGGAGATGTAATACATGTAATTTACCTCACTTATTCCACCAAGAGTTAGCATTGGAAACGTGACCTTAGTTCCTGTGGTGCGGTAACGCATATCACAGGCATCATAGTAGGATTTTATGATATCAATGATACTATAATGCCCATAAATGATGTTCACCATTTTCCATCAAGTTGGTGATCAGCTTGTTTACAATATGAAGTTGAATAACCTAAACATTTTGCCCTGAAAAGCCTTCATTTTACAACTAGACCATTACGAGCTGTATTGATAATTTCCGAGATATATTTTTTATTTATAAATTGTAAATTAATTCACAGAGAACGTGTCTTTCATGCATCGATTAAAGTATTCAGATCGTTTTAATTTGGCCATTATATTTATACGTAATAAAATCGATATTACTAGCATCTTTTTAAAGGACTGTTCTATAAATGGAACTAAAAATATTTTCAAAGAAACATTTTTCGAAAAACGACAAAAAAAGAGCCGTTCACATTAATTTGGAGGCTGGATGCGCCGTGTTTGGAATGGACGACTGAAATTTTTTCGTCATTTTTCTATCGATTTTCGGTATGTTTATTTGTAAATATTTTCAGTTTCCTTAATAGATTATTCCCTTAACAGACTATGGTTATGTATTTCGATTTCACTTTATAAGATATACAAATTGCAACAGGTGCATACACATGCAGAGTGTGGTAAAAGTTTTAGCAGCACAAAAATAAAAGTGTGATTTTAGAAGCACTATAATATTTGAATAATGTTTCGTGATATCCTTATTATCTAATTTATTAAATAATTTATTATTATTATTATAAACAAGAAAAATTTAAAAGAAATCAGTGCATCAAAACATATAACTTACGCTTTTCTTCAGAGATTTTCGCAATGATCTCAATAATATAAAAAAAATATATCAATGTAATTAAAAAAAGTAAATAATTTTATTCACTTTTAACTTGTAAAATAAATATGGCGCTAATCTTTTATTTTCCAAATTGTTTTTCACGTTTGGTGTTTTGACACGCAGATCGGTAAACACAAAAGACAAGCTTTTGATATTTGCCGATTTACATATCAATACACAGATCATGGGATTAAGAATTAAAAAAAACATCAATTCAATAGACAACCTGATGGTGAAAGCTTTGGCATTTCATTACTCATATTGAGTGTTTGATATTGCGTATTTTTTTAAAGAGAGAAAATGCATCGCATGGTATTGTATGTACATTGTATTAGGTATACTGTTTAAATATATGGCAGAGTGAAACAATAATCATTAGTATGTTGTATTTAATCGAAAAGTTATTTGAAATATATATAAAATAATTTAATTTAATTTGTGAATATTTATCAATGTATAATATAGAAAATTAAAAGTAATGTATGTAAAAAGAGTCGTTTTGAAATTATTTGATATACATTATTACATTAAACATAACAAAAATTTCCTACTGGAATAAAATTAATAAATTTTTCCATTCACATAATTGTTACTATGAAATTAGCCTTGACAGTGCACTTCATCCAACATATTGTGTGTGTTATTTATTGCTATTCTAAGAAATACAAGTACACTGCAACAAGGCTACTCGATTCCGTGGAAACCGATGCAATTATTAAACAGTATACGAACGCATGCATAGTAACGATAATTAAAAATATTACTTCCGTGACCACGTCGATGTACCATAAAAAAAAAAAAAGTTTTTGTACCTACAATTCGAATAAGCGCGGTGAACTAAAAATGTGCAGAGTAGAGAACGAACTCAGAGGCGACTGGTGGTTAATTCAAAATGTGCCTGTAATAAAAAAAAGTGTGCTTTTAGCTTTTAAAAATAATAATCTATCGCTACTGCTGTGTGTTTGCTCGTTTATATACAGCCAAAAGAAGCCATGCGCCCATAGACAGCGACATACCTCCACGTTGACTACGCCACCCGTTGACTTTCTCAACAATATCAGAGGACTTGGTGCCTCTACTGTTAATTCTCTGCTCTGTGAATGAAATATACGGTATTATTAGTATTGTCTATTGCGAAAAGGGATCGGAAACTGCCAACTGGCCGCTCCCAGCTTAAACGAGCTACACTACCAATGCCGCACGCAGTTAAATGGCTTTCAAACGCATTATTGGAAAGGACAATTGCTTTTCTCGTAAGAGTTTGTACATTATTAAATTTTTATTGATGTATCAATAATGCAACTGTATCTTATGGAGTCTTATATTGCCGCTGGACTTTCGTCTCGTATCTTGTAGAGGATCGTGAGTTTTAATTGAGGATCATTGCTACTAGACACATTTTATCATGCCGTACTAAGAAATGAAGAAGTCAGTATAATTCAGTAATTTATTTTTTTAATGAATACCATAAAATTGACTTACGAGAGTTTTTAAATAAATATTTTACAGTATGAAAATAAAATAAAAAAATATTTTTGTTTCTAAATTAAAATTCTGAACAATGATGGGATCTTTACATGCTAATTTTTTTCATGCAACTGAGAATGGCAGTAATCGTCGCCTATAAACATGAACAGTACCACGGACATATTCGGGTAATGCATACACATTATTGCACTTATGTTAAAAAAAAGACTGTGTTTAAGATTACTAGTATAATCAGTAAAGGAGTGGTTTCGATTCGCGAAAAAGATGCAGAAGTGAAGGGCATTTGTTGACTGTCACCATTGTGGTGAACATTTACGTTCGACGTGTCCATATTTTGCCGAACTTACTAGAATCAAACGTAGCTAAGGACCAATTAATAGGTATTACTAGGATGAGTTTGTTATTACTGTTTTACATTACTAGTTTCACATTTTATTAATTTATGTATTTTTTTCCAAATAGGTTGTATCTATGGAGTCATATCTAGTTCATGCGTGCAGTGCAATAAAATTGTTGGTTTACTAAGAAATTTAATAATTGTTAATTTAGCACTGCACGTACTAGGTCAATGTATCGCCCCGCCAGTTTTGTATTAATTTCCTATATTTGTATTTAATATTTATTAATTTTGTCAGTTATAACCGAGCTATTGGAAATATACATTTCCGTATATGTAGTCGTCGCAATACAACAGCGCAACAAGAGTTACAAATTAAAACGAAAAATTTTCAATATCGGACAAATTTCAACTCGTAATCTTTAAATCGCATATAACTTATCACATATAAATTAGCCACAATGCTTTAAAAAAAACAGTTGTTTGGGATTGGTGATAGACCTAAAAATTGATAATATTGACATGTTAGAGACGCGAATTCATAATTTAGATATTTAAATATCCTACATGACTAAATAATTTTTCATTGCCGGTCAAGCACAATACCTCATATATGTATTTATATATGAGGTATTATATAGATAGATATATACATATATAGTTCACCTCATTGGCATATTATACAAATAATACCTATATAAAAATCGTCCAACGCGCCCAAAGAAATCTTTACATAAAAAACTTTTAGGCAATAATTGTGATTAATTTACATTCTGTTACAATATTTGTATTACTCTATCAAACACCTCGTGTCGACTGTTGACCTACCTTAACATACATTATTTATTATACATTAACACGTCATACGTATTACATGTACATACAAGTTAATTTGCCTGTCGACATTTTCATACATTTTCATTAGTTGGTACATTGTTACATTTTAAGCGCTGATCAAAATTAACAAAAATAGTATTTATTGAATCTGAGATTCCTTTATTCGTTTCCGGTCTTTCTAATTTTTTAGTATGCATCTTATAAAAGCAAACAAGCTGACGGCCACCCTGATGGAGAGTGGTAACCGTCGCCTATAGACATTATTATTTTTTAAGCCGTTAACTGTCCACTGCTGAACATAAGCCTTCCCCATAAGGAGAGTTTTGCCAGTAGTTGCCATGCTTGGCAGGCGGATTGCCAACCACAGTTAGGCTTTTAGAGATGTTTTAAGACGAACGCAGCTGCCTATTCCTCGCCCTCCCTTAATCGACTATACGACATCCACGGGAAAGGAAGGGGTGGCCTATAGACATGAACAGTACTAATAATAATAGTATAATATTATAAATATGAAAGCAAGTTAGTTTTTTGAGATCTGAAAGGCAGGATAACGTTCGTCTGGTCTCTTCTGGAAATCTGGAGTTATTTAAACCGCCTTTTGGAATTGTGGCTTAGACTCAGGGCGGCTGGACTAACGTACAGTGTGTTGTATGACAATGTTCGAGTCAAGCATTATAATAATATACAACTGATATTTTTATATTTTCGCCAATTATTAATATGAACTTTTTTTTATACAATTTAGAATGGCAGACAAGCTGACGGTCCACCTGATGGAAAGTGTAACCGTTGCCTATAGACATGAGCAGTACCATGGACATAACAGAGTATACTGTTTCGCCCATGATACTCCCCATGTGTTGCCATTGCCGAGGACTCAGGTGTTATTCCTGTGTACCCAGTAAATTTACGCCATATCTCACCCTTCAAACCGAAACACAGCCATGCAAACACAGCTGCTTCACGATTGAAACACGAATTGGACAGAGGTATCCAAGCAATCGACTTTTGTTCAATGCGCAATATTAATGCTTATTTATAACGACACAAGAAAAAGAATTGCGTACAAGCTCTCGACGTAAAAATATTATATACAACCAAGACGTAGTTATACATGGTGCGAAATTTCATGGAAAGAAGTTGTTTGACAGATTATCAATTGCTGTAAAAACAGCAGAGGGGAGACTTTGTACAAAAGTCGTTTGATTGGGCATCTCATCCATTCGTGTCTGTACCGAGAAGCAGTTGTTTGCATGGCTGTGTTTCGGTTTGAAGGGTGGCATATAATAGCGAATTTACAGGGTACAGGGGAATAACACCCGAGTTCTCAGGAAAGGCACCGTATGGGAGGTATCATGAGCGAAACAGTATATTCTGTTATGTCCATGGTATTGCTCATTTCTATAGGCGACGGTTACCACTTTCTATCAGGTGAGCCGTTAGCTTGTTTGCCATTCATCAAGTTGCATGATAAAATATCTGTTATTGGGTTGATATATAGATACTGAAACTACAATATATAGATATAAGTATATATTATCCATCCCTATGTAGTTGGTATATATCTGTCTGTCTGTACAAATATTTGCTTATGCGATATATTTTATGTTGACCATTAAAGACGAGTTAATATCTTCGACAAATATTTGGCAGATTTACGGCTATAATTTATTAATAGACTTTACTGCTAAAACTAGTTTCTAATTTATGACCAACTAGCTGTGTGCCACGACTTTGCCTACGTACTTTAGGATAAAAATGTCATCAATATTGTATTTTATATATCGGATAAGGTTTATTTATATATTAAATTAAATTTGATAGTTAGATAGCTAAACACTTTGACAGCTAAATTTATACAATCAAGTAAGTTACATAACTATAAAAATAAAACATATAATAAAAATTTCTGTTCGAATTTTAAATTTGTACATACTTACGATATTTCTCACTAATATTATAATTGTGAAATTGAATTTGTTTATTTGTTACCTCTTACTGTCTTAATAGCTTAAACAATCACTAAGTACTGTATGGGGTGCAGAAGGCATAGATTACTTTTTATCACGGTCAGTGAATTATTCCAGCCATGCGGACGAAAACAAATGAAATTTGATATAAAAATTTTGTATATAGCACACACACACACACACACACACACACACACACGTATATATCTATATATATAGATATATATATATATATATATATATATATATATATGACGTCAAATGCCGTTCTTTACCAACCATAAGAAAATTAAATGAATTAAATAATTTTGGAATTAAATAATCCGGAGTAGATCATTCAAAGAATAATTATTTAAATAGCGTTTTTTACAAATACCCAAAGTAACAGGGAAGGAAACTGTTGCTCGAACAAAAAATATTTTTACGTTTTTTTTTGTTATTTTTAATACAACTTACTAGTTATTTTAGTGATAGTTCACTAAAATAACTGTTATTATATAATTATCTGTTATTAATATTTTTTTGGAAAGAAAACACAATGGTTTTCTATCTAAAAATGTAAGAAATATAATTACAATATTTAACCTAAGGGAACGTTAGTTTAGACAATAGTCTGAAATCAATTTGTCCTAAAAGTGTCCAAGCGAATAAACATCCCGAAAGTTCGACAAGTTTCGAATTAGTTTAAATCAAATCATCTTACCACGTAATACCACGCGTTTTGAATTTATTATCATTTTCTTTGATAGAATAACATAACTCTATTTTATGTTTGTTTTGTTTATTATTTATAGACTGAAATATAATTTTAAAGTATTTTTGTTTATTGCTAAAATGAAGAAATGTGCCATTTCGAAATTTATATTTTAATATAGTTAAAATAAATATTTATAAAAAGGTGTCCGTATAATTATTTTATGTTTTGTTATTTATTATAGAGTAAATAGATATTTTCAATATTTATTAAATATTCGCATTTTAAAAATCATTATAATTAGTGTTTATGAATATGCTGATTCTGAATATGATTTTTATTTAGGTTCTTATTTAGAAATTATATGATATATATTAATAATAAATGAATATAGCATCTGTTGACGTAATGTATTTTTTTTTATTAGTAATTTATTTCTAAATTTTCAATAAAAACTAAAATTGTCAATATATTAAAATGTAAATTTTGACAATTAGTTTAAATAAAATAAATATTAAGTAAAAAGATATTGCTTAAGAAGCTTTTAAGGTTTACTAAAAATAAGTTCATTACTTCGTTTTATGTTTGAAACTTATGTCATAAAAGAATAAAACTGTTTATTTTTTTATATTTATATAAAATCCGCTAATTTCATAACTTTATGTAGTCAGAACTAAATGGATATATTATGCCAGAGATAAAGTATGACGGAATTATTTAGATGAAAAAGTTTATTTATTTCTGCAGATTATTTTTAGGTTATTTTGATTACATGTCTTTAAAAGGGCAAGGTAATATTTAATTTTGAGATAAATGTATCACTTTTCTTGTTATATTTCCACAATAATAAAGCAATCTTCTCATTTATTCTCATTTCTGAACACACGTCTAAATAAACTCTGTGAAATTAAATAAAATTCTGTTATTCGTCATATTACTCACGTGTTGCCATGTATTTTTGTCGTGGCTTAAGATATTTTTTTTTCATGTTATAAACGAAATTTGTTAAATACTATAGCACGTGAGATTACTGGGAAATATTCTACCTTACCGATGTTAAAAATAGACACCTTACCTGAGTTTCTCGTGGTTCCTGTTGGATATTATAGTGGTTAATTTCTACAATAATTTCTTATTTCTCTCATTGGGTTATTTTTCTACTTTACTTAATCCTTGCATACTGATATATTTGCTTAAGAATGTAACAAAATTTAGTACCTAGATGTTTTATGTTTTTCAATATTTTGTTTATAGATTAATTTATTAGTAAGGAAACTAATGTTACGTATTACTAAACTATTATTAGTAAACTAAGTTACGTAAAAATGTTTGGAATGAAATTCGGTAAAGAGACGCAATTAATCTTAGATGAACACAAAAAATTAGATTATGTTACACTATATTACATTACGTTAGATAGTTTCATTTTAGAATGTTATTTAGTTACATCATCTGAGGGTAGTGGCCTGGTGGCTATAACACAGCCTAATTCATCCTAATTCAGCCATCAGTCTCCACAATATATACACTGAGTATTTTATAAATGTTTTTGAATTTAGAATTTTTGAAATACTTTTTATACTAATCTTCATAAACAAATCTAAGGATTGCCACTAAGATAAAACTAATATGGCCTCTTTTAAACGAAAATCATGATTTTAAACGTATAAGTCAAGAACTATTGCTGCAAATGCAATATATAAATACTAATGATAAATGATGCTGTGACAAAACAATAGGAGGTTATATCATGTCATTTGACAGGGGAACCCTAAAAACTGGGATTTGGGAACCGTACACCGTAAAATTAAAGATGATAATATTTTGTTCTTCATACGCGTTGGTAGCGTAATATTACAAAAGGTATTATAATAATGGAGTCAGTTATATAAATAAGTATTCTATAAAACAGGTGAGTAACTCTAATAGGTAATTGGTAGATGGCGCTTAAGTCAAGACACGAGGAAGCGCAGTAAGCAAGTTATCACTACATTGTTTAGGAGAGGCATCGCCTTTACATTGACGAAACTGGAAAATTAATTTATGCAACCATACACAAGCATGAACACAATAAAATAAATGAATATTCATAATGTTGTACAACATATTATGATAACATCTTGAACAGCAGTAAATCGTAATTCATAAAAGACCTACCTACTTTCTAATGTAAAATTTTCAGATTCAATGAACTAGTTGATTTTATACAAATGTTTTTTTTTTCGAGCGACACGGGCTTGATGAGGCGTTTGAAATATCTATAAGATCTGTTCAAAACTCACAATGATGCAGAATTCGAATTAAATTTCGAATATTAGTAAATTCACACAGACACAAATTTCGAATGTAGAATATTTTTAAATTCAACCAGATAAAATTTTAAATTTCGAATATTTGTTATCTTTTTTCTAGGGTCTGGCATGTAGTGAATTTGCCAATATTTACTCTTTTTACCTGTTGCACTTTCAGCTAGGCACATTACAAGCAGTAACGCGATCACTCTTGTAGCTGTGGCTCTGGAGGGACCAGTTTTTCTTCTGTTTGAATTGATCTTCTCCATTTTTGAATTGGCGAGGGAACTTATTGTAATCTGTAAAGGAACAATATTGTGAGTTTGCATCGAATTACAACACTACAAATGTTAAAAAAAAAAACAACTACTTTTATTATAAATACCTATCAGTCATTTTGTTTAGTCATTTATAATTTATTATCAATTTTAAATCATTACTTTCACACTATTGGATACATTTGAATCTTCAGTACAAAATTTATAAGTATTCCATTTAAATGTGGGTATTTTAAGTGTCTTTTTGTTTTTAATAATACTAGTATTACGATTTCCAAAGAAAATTGGTATTATAATATTTAATAAAGATGCTAAATATAAATAAATACCGTGAAAACACATGAAGGCGTGTTAGTAATAAGGTTGGTATTATCCTATTTCATTTTCTTCGAGAAGTATTAACGTAAACGTAAACATGCTACAAAAAGTATGATATACAGTTAAATCACAATTAAAAACATTCTCGAGTGTTTTGTCTAAAAAAAAAATATAAATATATATTAAAAGAGAATGCCCTTTCACGAGTTCACCACAAATTACCGCGTAGGTTTTATGCCATTTTAAATTTTATAACATAACCTCAAAATTCATTATAAAATTGCTCGCTTCTTATCATTTGAAAAATTTTATAAAACACAACACTACACTATAAAATTTAATAATTTTGCATTAAAAATTTATCATATGTTAGACATAAGTGTTGATATGTTGTCTTACATTATGATGAGCCTATATTTTATATAAAAGTGGATAATCTTCTAAAAAATTTACGATCAATGTTATCATCTAGATGTCTAGTGAGCGATAAATACGACGGAGTGAATAACGCCTCAGGCGAATTTTCTATTCGAACAATACTAGAAACGCGAATAAGTGAATTCGAAAACAAAATTATTTAATATTAAATAGTTCAAATCTGTATGTTAGATGATACTATATTATTTGAGTTTTATTTTAGTTTCTTAACAAATTATTAATGCCAATTGTTGGCCATAAGAAGAAAGTATTAGAATACACTCGCGAGCGACCAAATCGACTCAACCCTTGACGGCGCACATATGCATTGATTTTACTAAAACGACAAATGTCAATTATAAAAATGATATGTCATTCGAAAAATGAAGAATTCCGCTCTCATTTAACATCTAAAAAAAACTTAAGCGCTGATTTATTGACGCCTTTTTATTGTATTAGTAAAATCAATGCAAATGTACGTCGTCAAGGGTTGAGTCGATTTGGTTGCTCGCGAGTGTATATGTTGATTGAAAAATAGTGGTAACACTATGTTTTTTTTTACTATAAATAATTGTGACAATTTAGTTTTAGTCTACAAGATGTACTAGCGATACCATGTTGTATGTTTTGTTAGTCGATATTATCTTGTCTAACTACGACAATCTATGTCTGGAACTTAAAAAAAATATTAACAATATATTGTACTATTACTTTGTCACTACAAAAAGTAGTAATAGTTCGTAAGGCGTTATTTATGCCATATTTAATTTCTCTCTTAGTTTGTGTAGTATGATGAGTTATCTAGTTAATATTGTTGATCGATGTTTCGAATGATAATTTTGTATTTATTATTACTATTTTATAATAATCTTTCTCGAGGTTTGCCATTTGATGAATACTACAATTTACATTGTAAATGTTAACATAGCAAGTTCATTGAATATTTTAAATGCTGGATTGACTTTAAATATTTAGGCAAGTATTGTTTTTAGACTCACTACCACCCACAACTTTATTTATTTATTACATTACTGTCATATGGATTTATATTACTGCATGCATAAAAACATTGTAATTGGAGCGAGAGAGATAGACATTAGGACAGGTTTTTATTACTGAGAACGTCTTTTACATGATAATAGGTCTCAAAATGAGATATATATATATATATATATATATATATATATGGTTAATTCGATAAAAACATTTAGTTTCGGTTTGAAGGATGGGATATGGCGTGAATTTATAGGGTACAGAGGAATAACACCTGAGTATAATAACGGAATAACGCATGGGTATCATGGGAGAAATAGTATACTCTGTTATATATTGCCATTCTAAATTTCTATGGGATATAATATATATTTTTCTATATATAACTCCGTTAGTTGTTAACCGAATTGGATATATATATATATATAGATATATATATATATATATATATATATATATATATATATATATATATATATATATATATATATATATATATATACAAAAAGCGGTCTCATCACTAAAACAATCTCAGACAATCTTAGAGGAAGAAAGAAAAAACATCATCTGTGTGAAATATGAATGAAGAAAACAAATAGATAAATGAATAAAATTTAGGTTTCTTATTTCCATACTAATATTATAAATGTAGAAGTTAATTTGTTTGTTATCGCTTCGCGTCGGAAATTCCGGGAAAAATAATCAAAGGTTAGATCAAAATATAAAAAACAAACTATTAAACCGGATTTGATATAATTTCTGTGGTACCAATTTGTAAGTAAGTGTATGTATATACTTACAGATTGGTCCCATACTTTATCTGAAGAAACACTTCTTTAGAAATTAAAAATAATATTTCATTAATTAGTTTAGAACTGACGAAGTTATGAGGTGACTAATATAAAAAAAAAAAAACATTCGAATTGAGAATCCCCTTTTTGAAGTCGCTTGAAAAAATATATACAAACGGCAGCATCTTTCTGTGTTATTCACAAAATAAGGAAAATTGTTATAGGATTTTTTTTTAAATATATTGTATATACTCTATTTGCCGCCGTTAATAAACATCTTGAGATTGTTAAAATGATTGTTTTCCAAGGAAACGTGGCAGATGATTAAACCCATAGCTATTATGAATATCTACCGTTAGGTAAACAAAATATCAACATCACCCCGGTTTACATTGAAATATCATTTTACAAAGACAAGTTTTGGTTATTTTAGAAAAACAAATAATTATTTTGAATAATGTTTCTATTGTAAATAATAATAATATTACCCTTCGCTATTTTACCCTGAAAGGGTTAGTCAGGGGTATCACTGTATATATCTATAGTACATATATATATTCGATATTTTATATGTGTTTTATATAGTTTCTCTTTTGTTTTAATGTACCGCCACCAACGATCTGTACGCCTCATGGTTTATAGATATATATGTAGATAGATACTCTTTATTGTTTCCTCCAAAAAGATTACAGTAGTAAATTTATTTATAGATCTAAAAATTATAAGAAATAATCACAGTAAGAAGACAATGGGCGACTTTATTGCTAAAAGCGATCTCTTCCGGGTAACCTTTGGATGGAGAGGAGTAGTTATAAACAGGTTAGCTGGTAAAGAACGCCTTTATTTTTATGAATGAAAATGGAATGGTAACCCCGCCTGCGCTATCGGTATACACTTGCGGGGTACCAGCAAGAGATGATAGGTGAGAATGAAAGCAGGTCATTTGGCCCATTGTGATGAATTTAACAATACTTAATCACTGTAGTTTCCAGGGGGAACCGCGTGGACGTCGACTTGATAGGATATATTGCTAGCAATGGGGCTGTTAGACTTTATTATTAACAATCCTTTTCCCCCAAAAAGAACGTCTTTAAGTGTTATGTCTGCCATGTGTACCTTTATTATGTACATGAAGTTAAATAATTAAATATATTATATTTTGAAAGGTCACATCAAAAGAAAAATTATATTATATACTATCTTTTACACGCGACTTCGTCCGCGTGATCAGGATTAAAAATTTGTCAATTCCCTTCACCATCCCATACAGTACGTGTATATCAAATTTCATAGTGATTGGTTTCAGTTTTTTTTTTTTATACAATTTAAAATGTCAAACAAGCTGACGGTCCACCTGATGGAAAGTGGTAACCGTCGCCTATAGACACGAGCAGTACCATGGACATAACAGAGTATACTATTTCACCCATGATACCCCCCATGCGTTGCTATTCCTGAGGACTCAGGTGTTATTCCTCTGTACCCAGTAAAATCACGCTGTTAAGTTGTTAAGAAGCTAAAAGGTAATTAACAAATTTACTTTGTATGTTTGGTACCTAAAAAAAGGTACAACGTAAAATTTGACGTATGTTTTATTTCCATATTATATGGACATCGTACCTCCAAATTATTTCGCTAAAATACTAGAACAAAGTAACAAAAAAAATTAGCAATACACACAATAATTAACAGAGGGAGACTTTGTACAAAAGTCGTTTGCTTGGGAACCTCTGTCCCATTCGTGTTTAAACCGTAAAGCAGTTGTGTTTGCATGGCTGTGTTTCAGTTTGAAGGGTGGAATATGGCGTGAATTTACAGGGTACAGAGGAATAACATCTGAATCCTCAGGAATGAAAACGCATGGGGGGTATCATGGGCGAAACAGTATACTCTGTTATGTCTATGGTACTGCTCATGTCTATAGGCGACGGTTACCACTTTCCATCAGGTGGGCCGTCAGATTGTTTGCCATTCTAAGTTGTATGAAAAAAAAGATCATACAATACAAAATAAATCATTTACCCTTTTAAATATAAAATACTCAAGTGCCTCTAAATGTCAGATAACCCACACGATTAGTAATGAATATCAACAAAGAACTAACAATACTAACTCGACCACTTTGTGGCGCGTTAGTATAATTAGTTGACTGGGAACTTCCCCGTATACTTGACTTTTGCAAAGTTGAGACTTTATATTGTGATTTTACATAGGAATAGCAAGTAGGTAAAGGAATTGAGCTTTGAGGTTAAGTTGTGAATGATGTATTAGGGAAATCATCTTTACTGGGCTATTATTTAGTTCTAAATGTGTTAATTACTTTACGAAATAAGTAATATATAAGACTAATATTATAATAGTGGGTGATTAACAAAGGAAAGTTAATGGCTGAAATAAACCGTCTCCAGGACCATCTTTTTTTTATACAACTTAGAATGGCAAACAAGCTGACGGCCCACCTGATGGAAAGTGGTAACCGTCGCCTATAGACATGAGTAGTAC